GGTTAACTTCTGGATTTTCACAGTTTAACTTTACAATAAACTAATTCTGGTACTGAAATAACATATACAAAGGAACATAACACCTAAAGAAATTTGTCATAAGAGGGGCGCCTGGGCGGCTCAGTCGGTCAAGCATCCGACTTTGGCTCAGGTCAAGATCTCATGGCTGGTGGATTTGAGCCCCACATTGGGCTCTGTGCTGACAGCTCAGAGCCTGGAGCCTGCTTCAGATTCTGTGTCTCTCTCTCTCTGTTCCTCCCCTGTTAATGCTCTGTCTTTCCTTCTCAAAAATAAAAACATTTAAAAATTAAAAAAAAAAAAAAAGAAATTTGTTGTAAGATTGTCTCATACTTAAAATGTGTGTCCATAGTGTGTGTATGCAAGAGAACTTTATAGAAACGGCTATTTGAGAGGTGCCTGGGTGGCTCAGTTGGTTGAATGCCCGACTTTGGCTCAGGTCATGATCTCGCTGTCTGTGAGTTCAAGTCCCTTGTTGGGCTCTGCTGACGGCTCAGAGCCTGGAGGCTGTTTCGGATTCAGTATCTCCCTCTCTCTCTGTCCCTCCCCCATTCATGCTCACTTGCTCTCTCTCTCTCTCTCTCTCTCTCGTCTCTCTGTCAAAAATAAATAAACATTTAAAAAATTAAAGAAAGGGCTATTTGAATTAGAGAAATTTTTCTAATTGACATAATTTTGAAAATTAGGCAAAAAAGACTGATCTGAGGGAGACCCTTCAATTCTGTTCTTCTCCTTTCTGTTTTGCTCTAATGAAATCTTAGTTTTCCTGATTTAAGTCTCTTAGGGACATAAGTACTTTTTTAAGGGCTGTGGTATGTCATTTTCTTTTCAGCCTTTCAATAAGAACTCAAAAAATTATACCTTGGGCTCAGAGAATAAAAGCAGCCCAAAGGCTGCATTTTGCTTACTTTCTCTGCTGGTAGTGATCAGTCCATTCAGCAGATAAATCAGCAAGTGTCTGCCAATGTACTAGGTAGTAAATATGTGTTTTGATCTATATTTTCTTATTTTAAATCCTTATAAGTTATGAATTATTCTCATTTAATGGAAGTTGAAACTTAGGCCAAGAGGGTTTAGTGTTCCTACCAAGAGGTCATGAAACTGGTCAAAACTGGTGTTTCAGCTGCTTCTTTGACTTATGACAATACAAAGGGAAATTAATGGTAGTAAAGTCATAATACTTGAACTCTTGAAATGTTTCACATACATTTTTCTGTCATACAATAAACATTTATAGGGTACCTACTCTGCACTAAAGTCTCTTAGAATTTTAACAGGTAAGAACTTTATAATGGAGCTAACATAAACAATCTAGAATGTGATATGTCTTAAGAGGAAAGAATAAAATGTGACAGTTGAGGAAACAGGAAAGTTATTTTGACAGACTTAATCAGAAATGAATATTACATGAATGAATCATTTGTGTGAAAGCATTTAGTACATTTGATTCGGATTGTTGCAATGGTCAAAGGAAAACCTAAATATATTTGAATTTGGCTAAGCCAGTGAGTGGTATCAGATGGATGTAGGTAATGCTAAGTCTTCATTAGAATAATATAAGGAAAACAGAGGACAGATAGCAGTGAGTATTCCTTATTGTATGTTTATCAGAAGTAATTAATTACCTTGGAATGTGATCTTCATAGTGACTGTGCTATGATGGGCTTGTTTAGCTTTGTTACAGCTTTCTTGCAGTTAGAACTCCCATTTCCAGAATGTGTTGCTAGAGCTCACAGGGTATGCCTGTGAGAGAAATAGGGACACACACACACACACACACACACACACACACACACACACACACACAGAGTAGGGTTGGGAGAGAGTTAAGAGTAAGGGGGAAAGTGGTGTGTATGTGTAAATTAGCATAGAAAAAAAGAAGTCTGGAAGTTGTCACCTCTCAAGATAGTAATATGATGGAATGGGAAAAGTAGAAAGGAAAGGGTAATTTGGCTTTTATTTTTACTTATGTGGTAATAGCGATAAGCTAATACTTATTGCTTACTATGTGCCAGACCCCCGTTCTAAGTGATTTAAAAGTACTCACTTGTAGTTGATCCTTAGTGGATCCTTACAGCAACCCTGTGATGTAGATTATTTCTTTTCCTCTTTCGTGTGTGTGTGTGTGTGTGTGTGTGTATTTTTTTTCAAGATGTAGGAAAACAACTTGTTGAGTTCACACAAAGATTAAGTGCTGGTGCCAGGATTTATACCTGAGCAATTACACTCTAGAGTCCATACTCTTAAGCAGTCTATATTGCTTTTTAATGTGAAGATGATGCAGTATGGAAGCTAGTGACCACTGACCAAATGATAAGATTATACCCATTTATTAGGCTGACTGACCAATGTTGTAATCACTTACCACTGTGTGGGGCACTAGTGCCGATACACATATCCAGGAAGATTATATATACATATTAGAGACATAGTAGTATTACATCTGACATAGGGTTTGGCTGTAAAGATAGCATGATCATGCCTTAAAATAATTCTTGAAAATTCTTAGGTTTAGAGGAAATTGCTACACTGAAGATTGATGTCCTGCCTTTTAGTACATTTCTCATAACTGATTTTTCTTCCAGATTGGAACAGGTCACCATTTCTTGAGTTATCACCAGTTGCATATCATAAAACCTTGGCATCACTTCACTTGACAGGATGTGTACAGCACAGAAAATGCCCATCTGCCAACTCATTTGCACTCCTGGGCACATTTTGTTATGTGGAATGGTGGGTTGCACTAATTGACTTTTATTTCCTCCTTTTATTTTTCCTGAGCACATATGGGTGATTTCCATGTTAATTCAAGTATGATGATGTTACCCTACTGAACTCAACATATACATTTGTGTAGTTTTGTTTTTGTTGTTTGTTTTTGCATAAATGGGCCTTTTCCTAAGAGATAACAACAGTGAGTATTTTGGTTATATGTTCTTGCAGACCTTACTTTATGTATTAGGTGCGTGTATATGTACTAATAGAAATATATGGTTTTCTGTTTCCCCCCGTAAATTATTTTTTATTGTACGTATTGTTTATATACATATGATTTTCTTTTTGACATATAAGTGCATGTAAAGCACTTTACCCAGATTCACCAACCACTTACATTTTGCTCCATTTATTTAATTTTTGCCAGCTTTATTGAGGTACAGTTGACAAAATTGTATATATTTAAAGTGTACAATTTTATGGTTTGATATGCATATGAATTGTTAAATGATTTTCACAGTCAAGTTAATTAGTACATCCATCATCTCACAATATTTAAATAACTTAAAATTTTTTTTTTTTAGTTGTGACTTAAGGTCTACTGTCTTAGCAAGTTTCAAGTGTACAATGCAGTATTAACTATAGTTGCTGTGGTATACATCAGATCCCTAGAACTTATTCATCTTACAACTAGAAGTTTGTACTTTAGCATCTCTCTCTCTGAATGTTTTTATTTATATGTATTATTTTCTCAAAACCACTTGAATGTAAATTGGAAGCACTTGCCCAGTTACTTCAAATTACTTAAGTGTGTTGATATTAAAAACCACAGTTTAGGGGCGCCTGGGTGGCGCAGTGGGTTAAGCGTCCGACTTCAGCCAGGTCACGATCTCGCGGTCCGTGAGTTCGAGCCCCGTGTCGGGCTCTGGGCTGATGGCTCAGAGCCTGGAGCCTGTTTCCGATTCTGTGTCTCCCTCTCTCTCTGCCCCTCCCCTGTTCATGCTCTGTCTCTCTCTGTCCCAAAAATAAATAAACGTTGAAAAAAAAAAAACCAACAAAAAAACCCCACAGTTTAGTTATGAAAGTCAGAAAGTTTAACAGTGCTGGATCACCTGGGTGGCTCAGTCGGTTAAGTATCGACTGCGGCTCAGGTCATGATCTCACTGTTTATTGGTTTGAGCCCCATGTTGGACTCTGTGCTGACAGCTCAAAGCCTGGAGTCTGCTACAGATACAATGTTTCCCTCTCTCTCTCTGTCCCTCCTCTCTCTCTCTCCCTCTTTCTCTCTCTCTCTCAAAAATAAATGAACATTAAAAAAAAACTTTCAGAAAGTTTAACAGTGCTATGACACTATTATTTATGTAAGCCACAGCCCATATTTAGATTTCATTAGTTATACCAAAGTTCATTTATAAATATTCTTTCCCATTCCAGGATGTGATCTAAAATACACATGCATTTAGTTGTTGTCTCTTTAATGTTATTTAATCTGGAGCATTTCATCAGCCTTATTTTTGGTATTTCTTGACTTCAACATTGTTAAAATATAGGCCAGTTTTTTGTTTTTTTTTTTTGTTTTTTTATTTTTTCCAGAAGAGCCCTCAATTTGGGTGTGTCTGATTGCATTAGTTCAGGTTATATATTTTTGTAGAAATACTGTAGAAGCAAAGATGTGTTCTTAGTGCATCATCTTGGGAGTCACCTTATACTGTTTGTTTACAGTGATGTCTGCAAGGTTTCTCCACTCTAAAGTTATTATTTCCTTCTGTAATTAATAAGTTATTTGTTAGGAGACATTTTAAGATGATGTGTATACCTGTTCCTCATCAGCCTTTCACCTCTAGGTTTATTTTATTCTGTTTCTAGCCAGTCATGTTAAAAGCTTAGATTATTTATTTCAGCTTTTATTTGCTAAAGTGCTTAAGATGATAAATTTTTCTTAATATATTGCTTTGATATAGAACTGGAAGTACCTACAGTAGGGCTGGGAATGAAAGGAAAGAGTAGATAGGGAGATTGTTTATAATAATGTGTGATTAGGAAACTGGTAGTAGGAGCTGGACAGAGTATTTTAAAGGTGCTTCAGATTACCTCTGTCATAACAAAATGCTTAGAGTTTATGATGATCGTGATTGTCATACCCATGAGTAATAGTAAGTTTTTGAAAGTTATGAAATTAAGAAGTTTATTTCTTTAGTGACACCGGTACCTCAGGATTTGTTTAATATACAACTATCTCAGACCGCATTTTTACTTTACCATTTCAGGAGCTGTGGCAGTGGCATGGAAGAATCCTCTTTCAAGCTGGTTCACTGCTATGCTCCATTGCTTTGGTGGAGGAATTTTATCCTGTGTATTGCTTGCGGAGCCTCCGTTGAGGTTTCTTGCAAACAACACTAATATATTACTGGCATCTTCGATCTGGTAAGCTGCCATTATGGTGAACTATGAGACATTGTAAACTTTGTTCTGTAAATTATTAGTAAGTGAAAGTTTTTTCTTTAAAAAATATTTTATGTTCTTGAAAAGTTAATGCATGTACAAAGGAAGGAACTCAAATAAAGCCAGTGGTTTTAAGTACAAAGTTTGTCTCTCACCCTTCTCTTTTATCCTCTCCCAGAGGCAAGTATTGTTACCATTGTCTTATGTATCTTTAGGGGAAGCTTTTCAGATATGAAAGGGCATCAGATATTTGGCCCCAAACAGTTTATCTAACTAACTCAAACACATAGATGTACAATAGGATAAAATCAAGAATGTGACCAACTACGCAAGAAGTTCCAAGTGATTATGATTCATATATAATCATTGTTCTTGTCTTATTCCTATTGAATTTTTCAGAGTCTTAAGAGATTTGACACTAACTTTGTTTTTAATTTAGTTCTGAAGAAAAAAATGTTAGCAGGATTTGCTTTGGATTCTTGCAAATCCAAATTCAGTTATCCTTAAGAAGATTGATTCATCAAGCTAAAAAGAAGTATAATACAAATCAGAGTGCTTTGATATATCTGAAGCAAAAACTATACTTTTAACTAAAAGCCATATCAAATATATAATATTAGGAACACTTAAAAGTTCACTTTTATTTTGATAAATTTCAAATGAATATGTAATCAGTGATAAAAGGGAACATTATAAATAGTAGTGAGGTGCCTGGGTGACTCAGTCTTTAAGCATCTGCTTTTGACTCAGGTCATGATGTGACAGTTCGTGGGTTCAAGCCTTGCATTGGGCTCTGTGCTGACCGCTCAGAGCCTGGAGCCTACTTCAGATTGTGTCTCCCTCTCTCTCTGCCTCTCCCCTTCATGTGCGCGCTCTCTCTCTCTCTCTCTCTCTCAAAAATAAACATTAAAAAAATTAAAAAATAAAATAAAACAGTAGTAGCAATGGGAAGAAGTAATAATGGGAACCTGTGGCAGTGGAAACAAGTAGGAGTAGAATGATAAATGTGATAGCTAATATTTACTGATGTTCACTATATATCAGCTAAATTCTTTATATTCATTTTTAATCATAAGGGTCCTATAAAGTAGCCATTATTTTTTGCATTTGACAAGTGAGAAAACTAGGGCATAGAGAAACTTTGCTAAAATTTACATACTTAGTAAGTGATTGAGCTAGGATCAAAACCAGGAAATTTGATTTTAGAGGCTTGACATTTAACAGCCACTGGTTCTCATAGATTTGGGTTTTTTTGTTGTTGTTGTTTTTTTAAGTAAACTCTACCACCAACATGGGGCTCGAACTCATGACCCTGACATCAGGAGTTGCATGCTTTACCAACTGAGCCAGCCAGGTGCCCCTATCTCAGAGATTTTGTTTAACCATCTCTTAAAGTATAGTCTTTCACTTCTATGGGTTTTTTTTTTCTTTTTTTTTTAAATTGAAGTACGGTGAACATACAGTGTTATATTAATTTTAGGGGCACAATATAATGTTTCAACAATTCTATACATTACTCATTGCTCATTAAGTTAAGTGTACTCTTAATCCCATTCACCTATTTCACCCATCTCCCTACCCACCTGCCATTTGGCAATCAGCAGTTTGTTCTCTGTATTAAAGAGTGTTTTTGTTCTCCTTTTTTTTTTTTTTTTTGAGAGAGAGAGAGAGTGCAAGTGAGCGAGGGACAGAGAGCCCCACAAGGGGTGGGGGGGGGAGGGAGAGAGAGGGAAAGAAAGAAGTGGGGCTCACCCAAAGTAGGGCTTGTACTCACCTGAAGCAGGGCTCAAGCTCACCTGATGTGGGACTCAAACTCACAAATTGTGAGATCATGACCTGAACCGAAGTCAGATGCTTAACGGACTGAGCCACCCAGGTACCCTGTTTATCTCTCTTTTTTTTCCCCCCTTTGTTTTGTTTCTTAAATTCTACATATAAGTGAAACCGTGATGTATTTTTCTTTGGCTGACTTATTTATTTAGCTTTATACCATCTAGGTCCATGTTTAACATCACTAATTATCAGGGAAATGCAAATCAAAACTATAATGAGATATCACTTTGTGCTGTCAGAATGTCTAAAATGAAAAACACAAGAAACAAGTGCTGGCAAGGATGTGAAGAAAAAGGAACCCTCATGCACTTTTGGTAGGAATGCAAATTGGTGCAGCCACTGTGGAAAACAGTATGGAGGTTCTTCAAAAAATTAAAAATAGAATTACCATATGATCTAGCAATTCCACTATCAGGTATATTTACCCAAAGAAAACAAAAAGATACATCCATTTTTATGTTTATTGCAGCATTATTTATAATAGCCAAGATGTGGAAGCAACTGAAGTGTCCATCCATAGATGGGTGGATAAAGAAGATATGCCATATATATATAGTGGAATATTAGCTGTAAAAAAGAATGAGATATTGTCATTTACAACAACATGGATGGACCTAGAGGATATTGCTATATGTTTTAAAAGGCTTTCTCAAGGACTTTTATTTCTATAACAATATTTTAAAAAGATATTGGAATAGCATTTATTACAATTTTTTAATGTGTGAAGATGTTAAAGCTATATAAAAAGTAGGATATCCAGAATCTGACTCTTACTGTCACTTCCACTTCTGCTCCTGTGTACTAACCACCATTCTTTCTTGCATGGACAAAATGATTATTTAAAAATAAGTTAGAACATATTACTCTTATGCTCAGTAGTTTCTTATCCAATTAAAAACAAAATCTGGGGGACCTGGGTGGCTCAGTTTGTTGAGCGTTCCACTTTTGATTTTGGCTCAGGTCATGATCCCAGGGTCATGGGATGGAGCCCTGTGTTAAGCACTACACTAAGCATGGAATCTGCTTAAAATTCTCTTTCTCTCTTTCTCTCCCTTTCCTCTCCCTTTCCCTCTCCCTCTGCCCCTTTTCCCTGCTTGCACACACTCCCTTTCTCTCTACCAAAGGAAAAAAAAAAGAACAAAATCTAAAACTACCATGGCCCATAAAACTCTATAATCTTCTCTTTCATTCTTTCTGATGTAATCTTTCCACAGTCCTCCTGTTCAGTCTGTTCTAGCTACATTGGTTATGCCATTTCTTGAACACAAGGTGTTTTTCTACCTCAGTGCCTTTGTGCTTGCAGTCTTCTCTTTGTAATGCTATTTCCCTGGAAGGCTCATATTTTCTTTTTCAGAGAGGCTTCCCTGACTGAAATAACACCTCCTCTCTCTTGACTATCACATCCTCCTTCCTTCCTTCCTTCCTTCCTTCCTTCCTTCCTTCCTTCCTTCCTTCCTTAATTATTTATTTATTTTGAGGGGGAGAGAGAATCCCAAGCACACTCTGCACTCACAGTGCAGAGCCCAATGTAAGGCTCGAATCCACGAACTATGAGGTTATGACCTGAGCAGAAGTCAGATGCTTAACTAACTAAACCACATCATCCTTCTTTATTTTTCTCCTTAGACTAATTATTATCTGACATATTATCTGTTTATTTCTTTTTATGTTGGTCTGTCTCATTCCACTAAAATAATAGCTTCTCAGAGCAGAGACTTTGTTTTGTAAACTATATGATAATTACTTTTCTTGGTTCAGTAAATATATTGCTAAAGAAATGGACTGCTGTGTATTGTTATATTATAAGGCATTTCTGTAATTGAGTAGCAAGGAAGTACAGATCTTGATTTTTTGATCCCTTAAATGAAATAAACTTACTTGTCTGGGGTGCCTGGGTGGCTCAGTTGGTTGAGCGTCCAACTTCAGCTCAGGTCATGATCTCACAGTTTGTGAGTTCAAGCCCCACATCGGACTCTGTGTTGACAGCTCAGAGCCTGGAGCCTGCTTTTGAGTCTGTCTATGTCTGTTTCTGCTCCTCCCCTGCTCGTGCTGTCTCAAAAATAAATAAACCTTGACATTTGTGGGGAGTCTGATTACAGTTGTAGGAGAGTATTGATCCCGGTGATGCCGGGCTCGCCACTCCTGGATTTACACCTTCTGATAGCTCTTGCAGGGAGTAACTGCTAACCTGGCAACAGATTTTGAAGTTACGAGTCTTGAAATCCTTCTCTCTCCATGGGCCATCTGGCTTCGGTCTTTATGCTGTGAAGCCCCCCCGCCTTTTAGATGCTTTTCCTTTAATATTCTATCATTAAAAATATATATATGTCCCATGGGCACCTGGGTGGCTCACTTGGTTAAGTATCTGAGTTTGGCTCAGGTCATGATCTCACGGTTTGTGAGTTCAAGTCCCTCGTCCCAGCTCTGTGCTGACAGCTCGGAGCCTGGAGCCTGCTTCAGATTCTATGTCTCCCTGTCTCTGCCCCTCCCCTGCTCTCTCTCCATCTCTCTCAAAAATAAATAAAACATTTAAAAAATTTAAAAAATATAAAAATAAAAAAATACAAACCTTTAAAAAAATTACTTGCCTATAAATGTACGCTTTCTTGGATTAAATGAAAAGGTGTGTTAGAAATGGAAAGTAAAAAATGCATTTTTATATAGTGAATTAGTAGAATAATATTTAATTATTTGTTAACCTCGAATCTTTTATTATCCCAATTTTATATTGGAAGAAATTGAGGCTTAGAGAATTGGTGAATGGCAGGGTCTGACTTCAACACTACAAAAAACAAATATTTAGCCTAATGAATTATTATAAAGTATAACCTTGAAGCCACTAGCCAAGTCAAGAAATAAAGCTTTGCTATCCGTCCATTCTAGAAGTCTCTTATGTGTGTCCCATGTTCTAATCACAATGATTTTCCCACCTTATATAACCATTACAATAGAACACCATTGTCCTGACTTTAAGGTAATCACTTCCTTGTATATTTTTATAATTTTGTCATCCAAATCTTCATCCATAGACACTATAATTTAGTCTTGCCTATTAAAATATTTGAGGTCTCTTAAGTCACTTTTGTTTTATAGGTTCCCTCTCCATTCCTTTTTTTTCCCCTTATAATTTGTCTCTTGAAGAACCATGC